CACGGCGTGGGTGCACCTTCTCTGCACTGGATCTGCAGCCGCCCCGACAACTTCGTCCTGTGGGAGGGGAAATTAAGAGACCCCAAACCGGGACTTTCAGCCTAAATCTCCGGCCAGATGAGGGAGCTCCACCCCAGCACTGCAACTGAAATTGTCGGGGTGAATCCAAAAAATCAGGTACAAGGAACCGGTGCTATTTTCAGCCTTATTTCAAGTTTTTTTCCGCGGAGGCCGCGGTTTGGGGGCGGTTTTGGGGTGAGAAAGGACGCTTTTAGTGTCCGTTCTTTCCCTCCCGGTATTTCCGCATCACTTCCGCTCTTCTCTCCCTTTAAAAAGCCCTCGGCGCGTGCTGATTGGCCGGTTAAACCCCGCCCCCTCGCTCCCATTGGTTGTTCCTACCCGCGCTCCGCCCCTTCCCTTTTCCCGCCCTCAAGCGGACCTGGGTGGGAACTGCGCCCCCCGCGGGCATCCCGGGAAAGGCGAGGAGCGGACCTGGTTGAGGACTGCGGGAGCGGGGTCCGTTATAAGTGGAAAAAGGCGGATTTTGGGGCCGGGTTTGCAACGTTTTGCATTAATAAAAAGTAAGTGTTTATAAAACTGAAGCTTCAAAGGTTGTTTTTAAAATCGTTGCTTTGTTATACACAAAAAACCAACCAGTTTGGGTGTATTGTCAATGATTCGGGATGCCCCCAAACCACCAATTATTAACTGCGAATTAATAATTGTGAATAATATTAATTGTGAATTAATAACTGTGAATTAATAATTGTGAACTAATAATTGTGAATTAATAATTAACTGTGAATTAATAATTGTGTGCTAATCACTGTGTTAATAACTGATTTGTTATATCCCAAACCCACCGTTTGGGGTGTACTGATGACCAATTTATACACCCCAAATAATGGGGAGAACCCCCCCAAAACCCTCTGGGGAGTGGGTGCCGACTCCAGGCAGGACCTGGCTGACCAAAACAACCCAAATTTTGGGGGAGATCTCCGTTTTTGACCTTTTATTCTGCAAAATAACCTTCCGGCACCGCGAGCGGCGGCGACCGAGCGACGCTGGGCTGGGGCACCAAAACCCCAAAATAACGAGGGGAACCCCCCCAAAAGTTTGCCAGGAGCAGGTGCCAACTCCGAGCGGGAGCCACGGGCGGGAATTCGGAGGCGGAATTTCCGTTTTCGACCTTTTATTCTGCAAAACCACCTCTGGGCCCCGCTCGGCCCGGGGGCACCGAAACGGCACCAAACCCACCCCAAAACCCCTAAAAGAGGGGGAGAACCCCCCCAAAGTGCTTTGAGGGGGTAAATGCTAACTCCAGGTGGGGTCGTAGCCCGTCCAGTCCCGGGGGGGTGCCAGGTAAACGCGGCGGCCCCGGTACACGAAGCTGACG